AGACTTTTTGGGTCACAGTTTAGTGTGTAATACAGGCCAGCAGCACACCAGCCGATTCAACACGGCCACCGGCCAAAGTTCTCTGTTGACTTGGCTGTTGCTGCATGACGGTATTACATCACTGAGCCAAGCCAAGCATCACCATGACACTGACTCATCAAGTATCCTCCGTTCTCCGTCAATAATAAGTAAAAGAGAACAAGAGGTGGCCAGGGACTGATAGGTAAACATGGTATGGGGCCATACGGTACACATACAAGTACTGATAAGGGTAACTTTTGGATCATATGAAGATCCTCCCCCCCAAACCTACTTGGGGGGGAGGATTTTCATATGATCTAGCCTGGGGAGGATCTATATGATCGCCCAGTCGTACAGCTCATCTGATCCACCCCTAACCTAATTTAACCTCCCCCAAACCTACTTGGGGGGGGGGATCTTCATATGATCTAGCCTGGGGGGAGGATCTTCAGTTGGATACTTTGGGGGGGAAGATCTTCATATGATCCTAAACTTTTGTTGTTGTTATCGCTGGCTTTATTTTATGGTGAATATCCTGATGTTTTTCTTCTGCGCAGATTAGGTTCAATTTCCTTCAGTTATTTAATGTATATTTGTTCCCCACTTGCAGTCGTGACCTGTGAAATAATAAATGAGCAATTACTATTAACATGAAATCAGTCTTATTTTCTACATCGTGTGCGAACACGTGAGTTTCTTAACAGTCAGTTACCAGGGTCCCACCCAATGGTACTCCAGTGCATGTCTGTCATTTATTTTCTTCACTGATCTGCCTGCTGGGAGGTAAGGTAAGTCTGTAACGTACGGTACCAAATATACACAAGAAACAAAACCTGAGCGGTGTGTGTGTTTTCGGAAGCGGGAGACTCTTGTTTGCCATCCCCCCACCTCTTAATTTTTATAGTTGTTCTACTTACATAAAACATTGTCTCTATCACATATAATTCGATTTGCTTTTAAAACAAATAGAAACTTCTTCGGATAACAAAAGTCATTTGTGTGAACTGCAACAAGAGTCATTTGTGTGAACTTCAACAAGAGTCATTTGTGAACTTCAACAAGAGTCATTTGTGTGAACTGCAACAAGAGTCATTTGTGTGAACTTCAACAAGAGTCATTTGTGTGAACTTCAAAATCATTTGTGTGAACTGCAACAAGAGTCATTTGTGTGAACTTCAACAAGAGTCATTTGTGTGAACTTCAACAAGAGTCATTTGTGTGAACTTCAACAAGAGTCATTTGTGTGAACTTCAACAAGTCGTTTGTGTGAACTGCAACAAGAGTCATTTGTGTGAACTTCAACAAGTCATTTGTGTGAACTGCAACAAGAGTCATTTGTGTGAACTGCAACAAGAGTCATTTGTGTGAACTGCAACAAGAGTCATTTATGTGAACTGTAATAAGACGACGAAGAAGGTTGCAGATAAAAGTTCAGCAACTTCCAACTTTGTTCGGAGGTAAGTTATTTTGGTCTTGTATGAAATTTAACTGGTCGGGGGTGGGTATGGGTTTATTATAGTCGAGTGGTTCTCAACGTTTATACTGTCATACAGCTCTTTATTCTTAAGTTTAAATGCTGTTAAACCTTATCGTATATATCTAACTAATGGCCACCCAACTAGAGGTGGCCATGCCGAGGGAAGGGGATCATAGGCATGTGTAGGATCCCTTCATTGTTCTTGATAAGCCTTATCTAGGGATATTTTGAAGCCCAATGCGGTTCTCGATTCCACAGGTTGGGCTGATAGACTGAACTATAGATCTATTGCGCTCAATATGAAGAAGTATTTTTTACAATTATTATTCGTCCTGCATGATATTTTTGTGATCTTGCAGTAATGTCACCCCATGTTGATGACTCGTGACATCCCGAAAAAATTGCCCGGGTTCACTTTTTCCATCCCCCGTCTTGTTTCTGCCTCTCCCAAGTAACACATTTATATACTTGTCTGATACAGATAATACGCCTTTCTTCCGCCATTTATTTTTCCCTCACATAAACTTCATACATTTTTATATTCATGTGTTAAATGGTTTAGAATTATATTGACACACTGACGTCAAGCATCACGAAGGGTCCCAGGTGTTGCGAGACTTGTTGATGGCATCCCAGTATAACTCCTTTTCTACCACTTAATTTGTTTTAACCTTTGGTATTTGTAAGAATATTCTGAACTACAGAAACTGGAAGGCATAAACTTACCATAAGGTTGTGTTAATCACCATTTTCCTCTTCTCGATATCGTCTTGCTAGATTATTGGCCAGAGTTAATCTACTTTTCACTGCAAGAGACACTGGACGTAACCAAAACAGATTGACATCCTTCTTGAGTTTAGGGAACAATTTCATGTAAAGTTGGAGGAAAACTGACGAGTTTATGAGAATTTCTCGCTTAATTCATGTCTTAGTTGAAGAGGAATTCCATCGTTTATTCTCAAGGATAAGAATGGTGTGTTGCCGACCCCCGGTGTGCTGCGAACGTCACTTAACAACAAACCTCGCGTGACACATACAGTATTGTTTGGTGCTCGTCCTCTGTCTTCACCGTATCACAGGCCACCACACCACCCCCAAACATGTTTCACTTGTAACAGCATATAGGTACAGGGTATTGTAATATTTGTCTTATTTTTTACCAAACAACTTCACAGATTGTATTTTTATTCTCTTTGGTTTTCTGATTTTTGTGAGCAATTTAGTGACTGCCTGTACGATATTGTCCTGTAATGTGGTTATTTCGTGTTATATAATAGTATTATCCGATTAATATGGCATCACTACCCCCCAACGCTATAAAGCTCTCGCCACCTGTACTAACCGATCTGACCACACTCCACAAGTGTTCCTTCATCAGCAGCTGTAATAACAGGTGCGTTTCAGGGTCATCCTCGATGTTTTTGTGTTCGCATACCTCCCCAAAACACCTGTCGTATGGAAATTTAGAAGTGAATTGGCGTTGGTGTGTAATAACTGTTTGGAAATGTATCCCTGTCAAGAAATAGTAGTAAATTCTAAACAAAGTTACGTTAATAAATAAAGAAATATACAATATAGTTTAGCTCCTCTTCAAAGCACCCCCAAAGCCCTCCAACATATCTCCGACATTGCTTCAACACATCTCCAACATTAACCTTTTCCCTCTACTACCCTTCCCCATTGTCGATCCCCCACTACTCCATCTTCCTCCTGCCCCCTGTCCCACTACTGCCCTGTCCCACTACTGCCCCCTGTCCCACTACTGCCCTCTGTCCCACTACTGCCCTCTGTCCCACCACTGCCCTCTGTCCCACTACTGCCCCCTGTCCCACTACTGCCCCCTGTCCCACTACTGCCCTCTGTCCCATTACTGCCCCCTGTCCCATTACTGCCCCTGTCCCACTACTGCCCCCCGTCCCACTACTGCCCCCTGTCCCACTACTGCCCCTGTCCCACTACTCGCCCCTGTCCCACTACTGCCCTCTGTCCCATCACTGCCCTCTGTCCCATTACTGCCCCCTGTCCCACTACTGCCCTCTGTCCCATTACTGCCCCCTGTCCCACTACTGCCCTCTGTCCCATTACTGCCCCTTCCCCTACTATTACTCCTTTTCACACAACCCCCCAGCCGACACAGGTGCTTCCTTACCCAAATATTGTGAAATGATCAGGTAACACTTGCCAGGTGTGGCCGTGAGGTACGGAGAGGTGACCACTTGCAGATTTGTGGGTGGGACATACAGGCTGTCTCAGAAAAAAATTATACAAAACGCTTTACAGATTTTCACGGAGATCTTATGAATGCTTGTGGGAAATCTCACACATCAACAAAAGAGGGTAATGTTTTCAGTTGTAATACAAGTATTCACAAGCTCTCCACGACAATCTGTAAAATAGTGTGTGTGTGTACATTTTTCTGAGACATCCTGTATATGGGTATTAGACTAGTCAATCTGTGGTTTGAGTTGGAACAAATTGCAACATAAATTATTTTTGTTGTAACTTTCTTGGCACTCCTAGCTGAACAATATATACAAAGTAGAGAGAAGTAAATGTGATAGAGAGTTATCTAATTTGCATATATCATATAATATGCATGTAATCATATATCATAATATATAATATGCATGTAATCATATAGTATCATATAATGTGCATGTAAGTATATCTAATGTGCATATAATAAATATATGTTTTCATTACAATTATATATTAAACAATTGAGCATTTGATGTTTAAATGCTTGAAAATCTATATTTTTATGAGAAAAAATCCAGATTTTACACATAAATATTAATTTTTGGTCTTATTTTAATTTATCAAGCAATTTCATTGTCAAATACAAAAACTACATCATATAATCAACTTATAAAGAACAAAAATAAATGAAAATTTAATTTCATATTTTGATGAGCCACGAATGTCGGAGGCACAACGTACACAGTGGTCCCAGGGGGTTGTTAAGTCGACACTTATTGTACCGTATGTGTGGCCCTTGGCGACCAAATGTGTCTGGTACACAGGCAAACTGAACTGTCTTAGTTTAGTTTAGATTATTTAAAGCACTTCAAATTCCATCTATATCCACGAAATACCCTGTCCACCTTCATTGTCTATCTTGTCATATACTGTACTGGACAGTACAGACATAATTGCAGTTGGGCACCTCGAGGTTCTGTAATTATCATTGCTGCTTTTGAGCTTTAACAACGGTTGCAGTAAACCCCATTGCAAAATTACTGTATTCGCTCCCCCTGTATTCCTGGCCTCATTTATAAAATTTGTATTTAGAATTGCCAACTGGAAAAAGAATGACGCACTTTTTATCTAAAATGCCCTTGCATTGTGTTTTGGGTGGAAGGGAATTTTATCGCTGCAGGCGGGTAAAAATAGCATTACAGTACCTAGACCGCCAGCTTCACGGCCTACGGGGCACCCTCAGTAAAAACCGCATAATTACAATAATTACCGATGAAATAAAAATATCCGTTTTCTGTGAAAGAAATAATATAAGACCGAGAACTGTTGTGTTGTTGTGTCTCGTCATAGTTGTTACTAAGATCACAAACCTGCTGGAGGAATAAGAAACTGCATACAGCTCAGTATATTAATAGAAAGACTTGCCGTCCTTGATTGTGTAAAGAATAAATATACAAAAACTTTATCAAAATGTTGCCGAGAGCATCTGTTTTCAGGTGTATCAATGGTAAGATGATGTCTTTCATAACACTGTATTATTGTATAAGCTTTATGTTACTTACAGGTAGTCGTTGAAGAAAACCTAAGGAGGTGGACACTCCTAGTCTCAAAGTAATTTTGGTGGAATTTTTTAAGGTTCGCCGATATAATTTACAGAATACTACTAATTTATTAGGGGTGACAAGTGAAAAATAGAGTATAAATCTTAGAAAATAATGTGTAATACTCTAACGGTAGGAAACCCCAGAAACTAGCATTATTACCAAAAATTATGATTAAGAAACTTGTTTTGGTTCCCTTGTTTCTTAGCTAAAAAATATCCAAAACCAGGTGGAGGAATTCGTGTTCATAAATTTTGTTCTGGCAATTTTCCAAGTTTTGTATTGAGTTCAGTAAATGTATTCCATCACCTGACAAAACCCTCTTCCCAGCAACCAACCAAATGCTAAGTGACTGAACATTTACCAGTGACCTTTCCATACCTTACCTCGGAAATACGCTCAATTTATAGTATCACACCGGTCTTTATTTTGATATTAAAGAAGGCTTTTTCCATGTATTTTGATGAGTTTCGAACGAATTTGATATTCATTTCCACCGGAAATAACGTTTTTGAGACCCCCCCCCCCAACCAACTAACCAACAAAACCTAACCTAACTGGGGTTGCGCCTCTTCCGTTTCTTACTGTGCGGCAGAAGAAAACTGGTGATACCATTAAATGTGGTGTTCTTCATGCAGTGTACACCGATTATTACACTTTGGACAAACACATCGTGTTTAAAAAAAAATAAAATAAAAAATACGCTTCACTATATTTCTGATGAAACTCAGCAATTGACGCATAAAATAATCTCTATCACAATGTCGGCACATCTCTTCCACCTGTTCAGCCTTATCTAGCACCGAAAATTAAAATCTCCGTTCCTGACGCACCAACGCATTGTTCATTGGCTAAGACAAAAAGCTTTTACCCAATAATAAATCTCCTATATCTATAGTCAATGAAAACTCCTACACCACCCCCCGCACATGCGCTGTAGACGCTTAAAAAGCGAAGATGGAGGTAAGGAACACTGCGTGAGGGGGGTCAGTCCTTTTCCGCGAGATGTAATTAAATCATGGTGACACTTGTGACTGACCAAATCTAATAATATTGAAAAATTAATATCTCGGTTATCCTTAATTTCTGGTGGAAATATAATCGAAGAAAAATGTCTAAGAATTGTCAAAACACTATGAAATATATATTAATAACAGTGAAAGAAAGACCGGTGTAAAACTATAAATTCACCATAAATACTTCTGAATGTAATACTTGACGAGAGTGGTCTGGCCTTAGCAGTAGCTTGACAAAATTTCTCTATTGAAGGTAAAAGTTTTGCTTTATTTCACTTTATGATTTTTAATGTTTTTTCCATCAGAGGAGCAGCTGCTTCTGCCTGCTAAATTTACTTTCCCATTGCTACTGTATCTAAAAGTGTTGTTAATAGAATGAAGAAAACTAACCTACTTACCAGATCATTTATGAAACATTCCATTTAACATAGACAGTTGAAATGCAAAGATGGCATCTTCAGGTAGCTTAGAACGTTTTTATTTATGGGAAATTTTTTTTTTTTTTGAAAAATTTAATTCCTCAGCCTCACTTTGGTTATTTTTGAGATAAGAAGTGCAGTAAGTTGTCCTCTTTAGGAATTTTTCATTAGGTAGGTGGTTAGCCCGGTCTCCTCTCACAGAATGATACCAAATCATGTCCAATGAAAGAAAAGACCTACCGGTAACTCTCGTCTTTGAAAATTTACCTTGTGTAGTTATTTCAGATTTTTACATCTTTAGTGAAATGTACAGCAATACTTAACCATTCTTGCATATATAAACTAGCAATTATCGAGAACTGAAAAAGTTGTTCTCTCCTTCAAGAATAACCCATATCAACCCCCATAATTTTGTTCTGTTTATAGTGTTTATACTAAATATTGCAAGGGGAAAATATTTCTCCATTGAAGTATATGAAAATAGTTTACCTTAAGATTTATACAGTATAGAGGATTCATCTTTCCATTTATTCTTAGGTGTGTTGGCTCCAGGGTCTCTTAGAATGTCCTCATCCACACCATCTAGTGGCGGTGATGCCTCAGGTGGAAATGAACCCAAGAAAGCTAAGACACCCATTGGTGAGTTTTAAAACAGTACTGTACTGTACAATGATTTTTGGAGTTTTAATAAGTTTACCATTCACTAATTTATGTCTTGGTCAACAGTACATTCTGCAGTCTTCAAGGCAAGTGATAAAAATTAGGCAAAAAATTTGATTTGATGTTTTCTGTAAAGAAAAACATTAAATTTAATGATAACTACTGGCAGACCCCAATTTTGAAAAGGGTTCTATTTCTGGAAAACCTTTTGTAAATAAATTTTTCATAAATTGAACATAGTAGTTAAGATTCCCTTTATAAAACCCATCAGTGTATAAATATAGGTAATAATACTAAATAGGAGGAGGGGGTTATGTGGTGGTTCTTTAGAGAGGACACAGACATAGCCAGTACTGTATATAGCAGAAATTGTGTATAATATAATTGTAATAAAAAAATATTATATAATGTTACCTTTATACAATTTTTTTCTTTTTCATGTACACAGGTAAACTAGACGGTCAAGAGATAGAGGAGGGACATCACCCATACCAGGAGAAGGAGCCTCTACAACCATTTCCAGACAATGTTAACCCTGCTACTGGTGAAGTTGGGGGACCTAAAGGGCCTGAACCAACACGCTATGGAGACTGGGAGCGCAAGGGCCGCGTTTCAGACTTCTAATTTGTTTATTTTTTCTTTAATTCACAGTGATGCTGTGAGGTAAGCAACACATTTAGATATTGGGTACAGAGCAGGAGTAATTAAGGTCCAGTGAAACGAGAATTTGGATTAACGACCATAGAGTGTTAGGCGTGAAAATTTGTCTAACAAATTTCATTTAAATTTAATATCTTGATTGATAAACTACACACTACAGTGAGTTCTGCTATAACGCGTGTTTTGATAACGCGAATTTGTTCTAACGCTATTTATGAATTAGGAACGATATTTGTATAACGCGAACGCTTGTTTGCTATAACGCGATTTTTGCTTACTATTTCTCCAATTTTGTGGTATTAACTGTGAATATGGTAAAGAAGAATATCTCCAAGAAGCGTTCTGGTGATAGAATTCCCGGTGATGATCGTAAAAGAAAGGATATAACACTTGAAGAGAAGCTCGATGTTATCAACCTCAAATCACCCTTCTCCCCCATCAAGTTACATTCATATTTTTTCAAGGTAAAGTATTACATTTACTGTATGATTTCATTATTAGATATGAATGTAACATTTATTTAGACTGTGCTATCCTTTGTGTTTGGCGAACTACTAAATTTTTTCGATTTCGAGTAATCTGCACCTAACCCTATTTTCTCCATAAGCCCTGTTATTTCTATTACGCGATTTTCTATAACGATATTTTACAAGAACACAATTATCGCGTTATAGCAGAACTACCTATACACACTAGTTGCCAGTTATTTTTTTATTTTTTATTTACACTTGTTCCTTTTATTATTTATTAATTTAAAACAGAAAACTGAACTTTAAATTCATATTTTGAATAGGTATCCTCTCTCTATGTCTGAGAGGTGTTAATAATGACCAAGTAAGGCAGCTGAGGGCAGGGGGAATGATATATGAGCAGCTGATTGGGGAACATTTAAGTAGCAACAGAGGATTGAATGTTAGCTTGGAGGTGAAAAAGGAATTGAGAGACTGTGTAATATTTCGTTCCTGCACTAATAGCAATGGAACATGGGCTCAGAATATAGTAGATTGCTAAAAAAATTCTTGCTGCAGAGACGAGTTACCTGAAAGTTACAACTTGAGTTAATGGAATATACATGGTAGAAATTATTGGTGTTAGGAATAGTACTGTAGGTCAAGAGTGTAAATTGTGGGGGATGGAATGGATGAAGTTACTGTTGGTTAACTGAGATAGTATGAACATATGAAGAGTTTCAGAAGAGAGGGCAAAGAGGGTGTACAGAGACACTATAGCAAGTGCTTTGTGTAGAGGGAGACTAATTACATAGTGGGATGAAAGGTGGACCAATACATTAAAAGAAAAATGGGAAGAAGACTAGTGGGATAGAGAAGGCAAAGAAAATATAGTAAAATAATTTACCCGTAGTACTGTATATTGATTTAGTGACCTGGAGGCTCTTCTACCAGTTCGTTCTCACTCAGTTTGAGTTCTCGGTAAATATATGATCTCCACATCTTACTACAGTTGGATGTTGTTGTTTATGCTGGCAGTGATGGATACTTGAGTAAGTTGGATAGTCAAGTCACAGGCTAAAGTATACTACATTATGATATACAGTACAGCTCCTCCCTGACTTTTGACTACCCGCACTTACGACCTGCCTCAGTCGTACCCAAATTTTGTCAAATTATGTATTTTTGAGTCCCAACGTCAGTACACAGACAAAATTTTTGTTTGTAATTCACTTTAAAATGGCTGTAATTTCATGGACAGAACTGTGTGCTCTGGTTTGTCAAGAAGGTCACTGTTGGAATCTTGCATAGTGTCTTCAGCTGGTATGTGGATATCTCTGATCATTTTGGTAACAAGGAGTTGCAGGTCCAGATGAATGTTTCTTATGTCCATTCAAAAGAGACCTTTATTCATCTTTATAATTTGTTGGTGCTAAGATGTCCATGTCCAATCAGTGATTATCTCATGTCGGACCTTTCTGTACAACAAAGCAAAATAATGCAAATCTAACATTACAAGAAGACAAGAGAGGTTATGTGTGTGTGTCATCAAGGTACTGGAGGACTTGTACAGACACTAGGATGGCAGCAATGTACAGTGTGTCCAGCATTCATGTGAATTTATGGTTTTATCTATAGAGTAGTTTGTAAATGGCTTGAGTGCATCAGTGACTTGTTAGCCCCCCCCTTTTTTTTTTTTTAGGATAACTGCATCCTCCAGTGTAGTGAGGAGGTCTTGGTCTTCTCTCCAGTAAAATTGAAGGAAAGTGTCATTTCCACATAATGTGGTTGAGGAACTGATTAAGACATTAGCATTTTTAAGAGCAGTATACAGGTTCATGCCCAGAATCTGGAAACTTTGGGACTGAAACCAAACCAGATCTGGGGATTTTACAGATTTGGGGACTCATAATCTGTTACACCTCTAGACCTTTCTGCTTCCAAATACCCTATAGACAAACATATTACTGTGTACTCTATACAGAAACTTAATACTGGTACCGTGTCTCTCTCATTAGTTTATACAGTACAGCCAGCCAGAAGAGTAATCACAGTCAACAATGATTTTCATTTGTTCGTGGAAGATTGTTGGTTGCTGTACTTCACATTCCACCAATACTCTGTCAGTATCATCACTCTGACAGTTATGTAATGTCTTACATTTACCAGTAAACATTTCTTTTTGGACATCTCTTGTCAAGAGAGAATTTCATTACATGTTCTTTCTGTTCCTTTAAGACAAATCATAGATTATGGAAGGCACTGACCTCATAATGTAGTCTTCAAGTTTTTTAACAAATTTCTTTTTTTTTTATGGAAAAAGAATTGTGTTTCCTCTTAGCACTGTTACTCATAGGACCAGAGCATTTCCACATAATGGCAAAGAGAAAATGCAACATAATCATGAAAGACAGAGATACTATCCAGTTTTTTATTATTATGTAAACTTGAATAGGGATTCTGGTCAGTAAACCTGTATATGGCATGGTAGACCACTCCACAGTCGGGGGACATGCTGTATGTTTGTAACCTGCCACTATGTTGTGTTTTCCACATGTGAAATTGCTCAGATATGCTCAGGTAAACTAATTACTGTATTTAATATTTATCTTTAGTAACTAAAAAGACATTGTAAATTATGTACAGTATATACAATACAATTATAAGTGCTGATTCAAAATTTGATTTTGTTTTTGTATCCTATCTCCCCAAAGTTAACATTACAAAACATAACATTAGTTAATGAGGAATTATGAGTTATGAAAAAGGTAACAAGTTACTAAAGGATAAATCAGTGAGAAAACATTGATATCAGATTAACAAAGGTTAATAAAATTAAATTTAAACAAATGTTTACCTAAGGATATGGACTGAAAAGGAACACTAACTACATTACTAAGGATAGAGTGAAGGGACCTCCAGCTTCAAAATATTTACTATTTTGGAATGGATTTACGCCATATTAGTTTCAATATTTCAAAGGTTTATTTCTCTTCAAAATATTACTGAACATTATATAAAATCATGTACTGTACTGTATACAGGGTACTTAAATATTGTATATGTGCTGTTCATGGTGATGTCCAATAGTTTTGTCAAAGTATCAATCAAAACATTGGGTTAATAAACACAAGACCATTCATGCTGACCTTAAGCATCTTTGTTGTTTACCCTTTGCCTCATATTTGTGTGTGAGGGAACTAAGGTTTCTCTGCTGTAGTACCAAGTAGGGTCGGCATGGCTTGCCCCTCCATCCTGACTATTACCAATGCTACGACCTCCTTCCTCTACGCCACGTCGAATTTGTCTACTCTTAAGAGCTGGGAACCAGTTTGTACAATTTGCAATGATGATAAAAGCCTCTACTGTGGCCAACAGTGTGGGCAGAAGCCAAATCAAAGGGGAAGAGTTGATGCAGCGGTGAGCTGGTGTGTAACTGTTTGATGGGTGTTTTGGGGACCTTCTTGGATTCTGAGACTTGTGGTCAAACTTAGGGGAAGTGGAGATGCCAGATTCATCTTGTAATGCATCTAATCTTTCTTTATCGTCCATATTCTCTGGTGTGTTGAGTGTTCCTTTGTCATCGACATCCTGTGGTGGTCCAGCAAATGTTACTTTACCGTCCACGTCTCTTATGGATAAAGTGGATTTTGGACCAAGTGTTATTGCTTGGTTACGTGAGGATTTAATATTACTCGCCCATATATTTACAGAAGCTTCAAGTACATGCACACTGTTCTGACCCAAAGTATTTATAGTTACATTGACTATGAATAACTGTGATTTACTTTCCAATATCAATTTTGCTAAAACATCAATCTTTGAATCCTCAAGCTTAACAGTAATGTTCCTCACAGGTTGAAGAATATCTAGTAATCCTAAATCTGAGTTAATGACAGTGAAGAACTGCAGATCATTGTGACATACAACCTCCTGGGCTGATGACCCCTTCATGTCAAGATGGGTGATGTAGCTGGGCACTAGATTGGTTGTGGAGTCCACAAGTTTAAGGGAGAGATAGTCCTGGTGGCTGCAGGTGCTGGTGCTGCTGAAGGAGATGTTGGCTGCATTGTAGATGGCTAAATGAACACATATATTTCTCTCCACCACAAGGTCCTGGACATTGTGCACAAACACCCTGTCGGGTAGTCTTCCAGCCATCTCTTCAAGTATTACTACCTGGGGGTAATTGAGTGACAAAACAGATTACTGTACAGATATCCCTCATTATGTGAATGGGTTAGGTTCATTAAAAAAGCAATCATTAAGTGAATTTATGTATCTCGAAAAACAGAACATACGGGAAAAATAGGGTTCGGTTCCCCAATGACAAAAAAAAATGCCAGACCCCAGAAACATGAAATTGGTTCACAAACCTGCCTAACTCATGATAATAGGACACAACTATTGTATACTGTACCTTGACTTTGCTAAGGATTTAACACTGTACCTCAAAGAATGCTGAAAATTAATGGATCATCCTGACCACACCTTCTGTGCTCCTTTGAAGTCGCAGGTTAGGAAGGTTGGGCGCTGGGTGCAGTAAGGGGAGTTAGGTTCCACCACCAGTTGGGCCCGTCCACCACCCATCATCATCATCATCATCAGCAACACTCTTCCACCACAGATGGACACCCTTCTTAATCTGGTGTCCTTGAGCATCATTCTGAAACAAAAATTGGCTATAAAGGTAGTAATTTCTCCTTTAGCTGAAATCCTTGATCCCCGAAACTCGCCAATAGCCAGAATTTTTTGTTTTAGCATTTTGGGATAAATCTCTTCATTCTGGGCATGGGAGCGAATTTCCGAATTTTGCATCATGTTTCCTACGTGGGGATGCATGCCGGATGCATGAGTGGGTAAGCTCAGAGTGCTCATGAGCTACAATTGGCCACAACTGCCATGTGACTGCATGGGATGCCTATGATTGGCTGATGCATCATGCAGTATATCTCCTCAAACTCTTGCATCATGACACTCTTAGTTCATTGTCCTTTGCCACTGTACAAGCTTGTTCGCTCGCTCACCGCTGTTTTCGTATGTGATCCGTGTTGTGCAGTACTGTATATTACTGTACCAGCATATAATCGGCCAAGAATACCATTAAAGCGGTGTTAAGATGTAAAGTCAGTGCAGTTATGTATACTATACTGTACTGTAAGTGTGAAAGTACCATACAGTATGTACAGTACTGTACACAGCAGAGTTCTGTAATTCCCAATCGATTGGGAGTCTATGATATAATTGTGTGTGAAACATTATGAGACCAAGGATAATAGACATTGGGATATACACTTTCCTGCCCTGTAGAGTTTCACGTAAGTAATGCAATGTGCATTTATTTCGACATAATTAATGTGAAGTTCGGTTACCAAATGTAGTAGGATCAAATGCCACACAGCCATGCATACCAACTCTCCCGGGATATCACAAGTTGCATGTAGCATTATGGAAGTCAGCAGACTCATCCTGGCAGATACCTTTTTGTGATAGTGTACTGTAGGGGGAAGTGAAATTTTGCTCAAAGCTGCACTCTTCAGGCATTGTTCCTTATACATATCTAAGACTCCATGCCAAATTTGAAGCTGATATGTCGAGGTTTAGTCTGCCGCATTTTCTACTGAAATTTTTAAATTTACCTACAGTACTAGCCAAACAGCCGCTGTGGCGGTGCAATATTCTGTTCAGTGTTTATCAACTTTTTTTTCATATCTCTTATTTCATTTAAGTTGTCTTGTTGCAGATGAGTATGGAGCTATGTCTATATTGATTATCAGCCTTTTCTCATTTCATTTCTCAATGTTGTGTTACTGTACTGTAATGTAGGGGAGACCTGGGTAAGTTGGCGCACTTGAAATTATTGAAATAGTTACCGTTAAGCAGACAAGAGTCAGGTTATTGGACCACATAAGCTGCGGGATGCGAGACAAAAATACCGATTTAAGAGGCAAGAAATTGAGATGGCTAGTTTAGATAATTTGACGTCACTCTATTTTGATGGTAAGAAGACCGCCACTCGTGTGATGATAAAGAATGAGAAAGACCGAGAAATGGAGTTCGAGGATGATGGTGAAAGATCATTATGTCATCATGGTTGAGCCTGGCAATGAATATCTCACACATGTGACTCCCAAGACTGGACACGGAAAGCAGATTGCCAAAACTATTCACGAGTTTCTGGTGGAGAAAAATCTAACCCAGCAGCCCATTGTGTGTATTGGTTGTGATGGAACCAATGTAAATGTAGGATCAGAAAATGGAGTCATTCATCATCTTGAAATGTTACTTGGTCACCCGCTCCATTATTTCATATGTCAGCTTCACGGAAATGAGCTGCCTTTCCGCGCAATTTTTTATCACTATGATGGTAAACCAAGTGGTCCTGAGCATTGGCGTGGTCCCATTGGAAAGCAGATCAAGGAGTCTTTGTCTGAGCTTCCAGTTGTCGCCTTCCAGCCAGTCAGTTTCCCTGATTTCCCTGTGTTTAATGATGAAGTGGAGAAAGATCTGTCCTGGGATCAGAAATACCTGTATAGGATTTGTAAAGGAGTTATCACAGGTGTTGTTGAAGATGACTTGGCTGCTATTGAGCCAGGTCCTCCCTGTGTGTCAAGGTGGAACACCTTATGGAGTAGAATCCTCAGGCTGTATGTAGCAACATCAAGACCCAGCCATGAGTTGAAAAGAATTGTCATTACAATAATAAAGTTCAGTGCTCCAATGTGGTTTTACATCAAGATACACCCTTACGTAACACACGGCTCAAGGAACGTATTCCAGTCCCTGCTATATATGAAACACCTGAATAGTGAGGAGGAGACGATAGTGAAGAAGGCTGTCCAGAGAAATGCATACTTCGCCCACACAGATCAACTTCTTCTTGGTATGTGTGCAGATGAGGACATGACTGTTAGAGAAAAAGCTGTCTCAATGATAAGAAAAATTAGAGAGGAGAATCAGCAAAAGGAAGAATGCACTGGCAGATCTGAAGAGGAGGAGGAAGATTCAGATGCTGCTGTTGACGAGAATTTGTTAAACTATACTGATGAGGAGGGTAAAGATGGAGATGGGAATGAGGATGTGCCTCCTGTAGTCAACATGAGAAAGGTGGTGACTCCGAAACTAAAGTGGCAAGCAAAAAACTATCATTCCATGATTAACTGGAGGAATGAACTCAAGACTGAGCCTCCTTACATTGCTTCTCTGTCAAATCTACAGGTTAATGACATTCTTGAGACACCATTAGTGGTGCCCAAGTGGCCAAACAGCACTCAGGCGGTCGAGAGAGGCATAAAAGTGATGACTGAAGCTTGCACTGAAGTGACGGGATACGAATCGAGAGATGGATATATTAGGCAAAGATTATTGTCTAGGAAAATGATGCCAAGGTTCCGCACAAAAAAGAATTTCAATATGAACTTGTAATGATTTTCTATACGGTGTACCTGTAAAATAACATGTGAATTAAATCGATGTCACCCATGTAAAATTTATCATTATCCTGGAAAACATTAAATGACACCTAATTTTTGGTATACACAAGTTGACAAAAAGTCGTTCGCGATGCGGCAGGATAAGTATGCATGAAATGGCATGAAATTTTGCACAGGTGTTTGTTACAGCCATACAAACGATGCCTGAAAAGTGCAGCCTGCAACTCAAATAAAAGTGTTTTTTCCCTGCCCCTAGTGTACTGTACTTGTTAGGGCTAATTATCATGCACCTATGTTGTTGTGTACATATTGCACTCAGGTGGTCAGTATAGTACAGTATATGGCATTTGCTCAGTTTACAGATGTGTGATTTTCTGGCTGAGTAACATTTTTATTTAATTCATAAATTTCAAAGTCTGCATGTGGGTATACTGCCATTAGAAGTGTTGACCCACCCCACCAACAATACCAAGCATATGTCTGCCACAGCCATCGATTGTTAGATTAGGTTAGGTTATGATTTACATTAAAGAATAGACACCTAACACAGAGATTGATGTTTAAGTTAGGGTTGGGAGGTTAGCTTAGCTTAGCCTTACAAAAAAACACAATTGACACAATAATTTACAGTTAGGTTTGGGTTAAGTTAAGTTGGTGAAAATTTTCTGTTGGGCCATCATAACATTCTCTGGCAGATTATCCCAAGAGTTCACAACCCTTACTTCAAAGAAGTTATTGTACTCTCCCTGCAACCTTTGTAACACCCCCACATATAATACAGTACAGTACTTTCAATACTACCGCCTTAACTGTTCTACTGTCAAGGACCTACCTGGTAACAGATAGTATTGTACTGTAATTCTGGTACCCATACTTTACTGGGGTCTTAATGAAATTATTTTGTTGCATAAGTTGAACTTAACCTTGTCTTCTAATGAGTGAGTTGTCCTTTGTGAGTTTTCAATTAAAAATAAATTACCGGTATAGTACAGTACTCTTATTGTCACACACAAGCTAGCTATGAAGATCAATCAGACATTCTTATTACTACTCACCCATACATTAACATTAAACACCATCACCAACTTGTACTTACCTGAATCACCATATTGCAATGGAATACTGTATCTGTTTAAGCCAATCCTCAACATGTACAAACATCAATCACTAAGTAACTGTTTTTAAAGTAATATATCAGTCTACATAGGATCTAAACAAGTTGTCAGACTTTACCAAACATTAAGTACCTGTAATGAATTTGAGGATGACTGTACCTTTATACCCTAAAATTTTGTTAAGAGCACAAAATGTTAGGTCCACATTTGTATTTAAAGTGATCTTGTAACTTGGGAGCATGAATATGATTAGGTGTTATCAGTGATATGGGCTCAAAAGTGTCCTGAACTTTGTTATCAGTAAAGGAGATGTATCTTGCATGTCGTACTGCTTCATTTCAGTATGTGAACTCGTCCTTTGCTCGCATTTAATCAATACAGGGTGTCTGGTAGTGCAATACTGTTGTCTGTTTATCTATCAGTAAAGGAACCAGCTAGTCTTATGTATTCTTCACTTACTGACTCTACAGTAATTTGTCATCATTTTCCTGGAGGTGTCAAATATGGTTTCAACTAAAGTGACCTCTGTTACACTCCAGACAACATCAAATTTCAAATAAAATAATGAAATTCACCTGATAATCAGTACTTGGAAAACTTAAATTGAAGTTTACAAGCCATTCCTACTTCCAGTTTATCCCCCAAATAAATTCTAATCATTTCATTTTATTAAATTAAGGAAATTACAAAACTTTTCTTGTCTTTTAACATTAGATTCTGAATTATCATACCCAAAATCTCTGTGTGGCTGTTTAATAAATCTTACTTGGTGCACCTGTAGCAGTGTGTCCTCTGTTAGGTCCATGACACAGGTATATACAGTTAACCCTCACTTTACGCGGTCCCGCATTCCGCGTTTCCACGTTTACGCGGTGCCTTGCCAGAACCTCACGTGCTCACATTACGCAGTACGTGAACCCCATTACGCGGAGAGTGTCCGGCGCGACGCTATTTTTAGATTCGCCCCACCCGCCACCCGCCCGCCTGCCTCTCCCTCCTCCTCCCTCCGCTTGGGCAAGCGGCGCAGTAAGGTTGCGCAGTGTGTGTCTTTGTTGCGTTATCACTGACGTCATATGACGTATCAGACCTGTGATTGGCCATGCATCCCTACCCCCCTCTGCTGCTAGCTGTAATTGGCTTAAAGTATTATGACGTGTCCACCCGGGGGAGGGAGGGAGGGAGGAAAGACGACGCTTGACCTAGCCGCGGCAGTTTCATCCCTCAAGGCCACTCCGTGTAAACGCGCATCCATTGTTCCGTAAAATGGCTTCCGCCGGACCACCACCCCCAGAGAGAAACCTTTCCTTACCTGGACCCAGCGGCACTAAACCAAAGAAGACACGACGTTCCTTAAGCTACGAGGTGAAGTATACCATCATCCAAGAGTTGGAGAAAGGAACAAGGCAGGTTGATTTGGCGCGCCAGCATGGTGTGAACGAATCTACGATCCGGACTATAAAGAAGGATTCAGCCAAGATAAAGGAGCACATGAAGATCACAAAGTCTACAGGTGCTTCTATGATCAAGTATTTTCACAACCAGGTGCTTCTCAAGACAGAAAAATTACTTGTGAGGTACTTGGTGCGTCAGGCGCGACGGAACATGGCGGTCGACACGCGCTCTGTTAAGGACTACGCACGTGAACTGTACATGGCAGTGGCACGAAAGATGGGAACTTCAGAGCCCAAACCCTTTAATGCTTCCTCTGGGTGGTTACAGAGGTTTAAGATCCGGAACAAGATCACCAATATAAACATTGGTGGTGAAGAAGCGAGTGCTGATCGTGCTGCGGCTCGGGAATTTCCTCCGTTTTTACGTGAGATTATGGAGGAAGGACAGTACAGTGACGACCAGGTGTTTAACATGGACGAATCTGGTCTTTTCTGGAAAAAGCTACCTTCCAAGTCCTTCGTTGTGAAGAATGCCAGCAGGATTCGGGGCCGGAAAATGCAGAAGGAACGCATCACCGTCCTGTTTACCACCAATGCCTCCGGTACCTGTAAGCTCAAGTTATCGGTGATCCACACAGCACGCAAGCCGCACGCCTACAAAACCATGGACATGACCAAGCTAAATGTCCACTGGCTGACCGCACGTAAGGCGTGGATGTTCTCTACACTGTCCCTCTCCTGGTTTGATGACTGTTTTGTTCCCGATGTAAAAAAATTCTGTGAGCGACAGAATGTGCCATTCAATATTTTGTTGCTGCTGGACAACGCACCAGGACACTCGCCCCTACTGTTAGATCGTCACCCCAATGTAAAAGTGGTCTTCCTTCCTCCCAACACTACGTCATTAATCCAGCCCATGGACCAGGAGTTGATTTGCAATGTGAAAGCTGCATTCTCAACCAAAAAATTCCAGCTCCTGAACGACTACACCAACACCAGGGAAGAGTTGCGTAACCTGAGTGACACCACCACCGATAGCAAGAGCGAAGAAGATGAGGATCAACAGTTGGAACAGCAAAAAATACTCTTCAAACAATTCTGGAGAGTATTTAACATCAAGAAAGCTGTGGACTTCTTGGTGGAGTCATGGGATCAGCTGTCTATTGCTACAATTCGTCACGCATGGAGACATGTGTTGCATGGAATACCAGTTGAGAGGAGGAGTCAATCTGTGACTGGTGAGGTTCAGAATGTTGCATTAGCAGTGGACCTTGCCAGAGAAGCTGCGCAGACTGTTACAGTTCCAGGCTTCTCCGAGACCACCAACGACGACATCCTGGAGGTGATCAGAGATCCTGAAGTGACTGTCGACGAGATGTTGGAAGAAGAACACGTCAGTGAAGAGGAGGAAGAAGGTGCGTCATTCTCCGAAGAACACAATTTAAGTCATAGTGATATTAAGGGTGCCATGGAGTGTGCAGAGAAGATGAAGTCCTTCCTTTCCCGCGACAATGACGATGACCGCTATGAAGTCTTCCATACCCGGCTGGTGCAGGCTATAGAGCCGTACATCAAGGTGTATCACGACATCAACGCCAGCCGTCAGCAAAGCATAACAGATTTCTTCGCCCGCAACCCACCACAGCCAGCCCAAGCCAGTGATAGTGACAGTGAAGATGACTTTGAGGGATTTGTCAGGGAAGCCCTGACAACTGTAAGTGACAGTGATGGTGATTCACCTGAGGGCCAGTAATCTGCCCTCTGCCTCGGAACCAGCCTCCATCCCCGTATGCCGACCCATCTCTTCTACTACCGTAAGTGTTACACCTAATTTTTAGTTTTCTAACCTAACCTTTATCTTTCCTAACCTAACCTCTTCTATATTACTTGTTTTTTCATACCATCATAAAGTTAAGATAAAATTTTTACTACAACATAGTTGTGTGTCGTCAAAAAGTGGAGTTTGGGGATCGGCCCGGACTCCATTTCAATTAATCCCATATGTTATGTTATTCACTTTACGCGTTTCTCACTTTACGTGGGACCCTCCGGGTTACATTAACCGCGTAAAGTGAGGGTTTACTGTAGTGAACAGAGGATCTGGTCACTTATAGAATATTTTGGATGTGAACAAAGGCCACTTGAATGTTGTACTGTAATGTAATACTAACCAAATATTACAAGAATCAATTAGGAAGAAATCACAAGCATTCATTTGTATTACACAATGTATTTATTCATTATGAAAATTCCTTAGTAAAACAATATTAATGACCATAAGTCTATGAGAAACGAATCTGCTGTCCTTCATAAATTACACAAACATTTCTGTGATAAACCGTTACAACCATGTCAACAAATATTACATGAGAAAGACTGGCCACAACTGCGTACCACAATGAGAGGTTTGCAAAAATTATGATCTTTGCACAAATGCCACCACATACAACACAAAAATGTGCCCTTTTTTCAACTAACATGTTATAAAATTTATAGCATACCAGCCTTGTGTGTGTCAACAAGTACCATGGCATTAACTCTGCAATATAAATTCAGCAAAGTTCCAGGATGATGTTACTGATGTACACTACATTTAAGCAATATTTGCTAAATAATCTTGCACCTCTGCCGGAGTCAGTCTACGGAATCCCCTGGAGTTGCAAATGCCGATCTCGATATTGTCACTGCTCATTTGACCTTCAAAGCTCTCCTTCAGGGTCAAAATGGCAGTGTGTACAGCATCATCCAGTTCAAGATCTTCATTGTACCTAAAGAATAGCAGTTAAGTGATGATAAAGCCGACCAGCACTCAGAGACTCAAATCAAATTAAACTTAATGAATCCATATTCTGAGTAAATGAGGTGGAGAAAGAAGTCTTTCAATCACAACTATATAGGGGAACTGATGCCCTCTCATTACTGTGTGTATATAGGAATGGAGTGAGGTTTCTGGATGCAAGAGGAAGAAACAAATTAAACAGATATGATATGATAGCAATATGTGGTGTGCATAGGGTGCAAAGAACAAGAAATATGGATGTCAGAGAGATGAGGGATGTAAGAAGTGAGGAATAAGGTGCTGACCAGAGTCAGACAAACATACCGAGAGAATGGGAAATCAAAGTCCATAAAAGAATGTAGGAAGAAGAGAAGATCAAGAGGGAGCAGGAGGATGGGGTGAGGGAATCACAATAAGCCCTTCCTATATCACAGACATGTGTCCTAACAACTGCTGTGATACAGCCAACTGAGATAAATGTGGACCCTAAACTTATAGTGAAGATAAAAAAGGTTGCTTTCAAAGACTGAAATTTTAAACATTTAAGGCACTTAAACTTGAAGCAATATTTGGAAAAGTCATTGCTTCACTGATGCAGTTTTGGTTAGACTTTAGGAAAGGGTGATAGGTGTTCTTGTCATTCATTCATTCTATCTTTTTTTTTCACCTCCCATCCTTAACACTTCCACAGGGGTTCCATCCATTCCTCCATATTCCTAAGGTTTCTTAAAACCTGTCTCACCTTTTCCTTAGTTATCAATATGTTCCTCTCTTCATTCCTTGGCATCCTATATAAGATAACAGCATTCCTCTCACCTGTTACATTTAGCAATTACTGTTCTCAAAATATCCTCCCTTATTTCTCAACCTTTTTATTCTTAATTAATATTTCCATTTGTTCTCCCTCTGATTATGTACACTTCCTAGACAAATTTTAATTTTTTAAAGCTTTGTTAAAACCCTTCTCTCAATCTTTATTCCACTCGTATTTAGCAATCCTTAAAAATTTTTGTACTGTCTTTACAATATCACAGTACAGTACTTCTCCTTTTATCTCTCACATCTTGTATTTAATTTTCATACTGTATATACTTCTTTTCTGTTAGTCCAGCACAGCCAACTTCTAACCATACAATTCATTCTTGATTTCAATTTCACTTTTGTGGTTTTCCATTTTATAAAAAATAATAAAATCTTTTCTAGACATCCGTCTGATGTCATTAAATCTAAGTCTTGATATTTTTTTCAATAACAAAGCAAAAGTTCTTACCTCTTTTCAAGGAAAGTTTTTCCATTTATGAAGTTCTTGCCCATGGCAGTAGCTTTCCAAGGGAAATAAGCACCTGATGGATCACACTGGAAGAGGTATGGTCTGTCGGTGTCCCACCCACAGATAAGCAGACTCACCCCAAATGGTCGCACTCCTCTGCAAGAATGATAGTTCCTTATTAAATACACATTGGTCCCAAGTGTATGAGGCACACCAAATGTTATAAGCTACATCAAAGAGAGAAAGAAAACTAATGATTATTTAGTACTGTAGTAATTTCTTACATTTTAATTTCCTACAATACAAAATAAGTAACATTTGATGGGAATATCTGGTGTACTGTACTTCAGAATGATGGTTTTATCATGTCTTGGGGATCAAGTTTTTTCCCTGCAGCAACTCATCTTTAGTTATACTATATTATGGCTTCTGTAAAGGGAAGGAAACCTGTACTTAAAAGCCCTAAAGCATGGTTTTGGTTTTATTTTAAATGTTAAACATTTAAAAATGTGTGAAAAGAAGTATATATATCAGTGAACAAAGCAAAAACATATGAGGAAAGTACAAGAAGTAAACCACAACAAGGTAAAGAAAGTGTGAAGCCTAATCGATACCTAAAAATTTAACTGTGCAGCAATTGAGATATGTAACGAGGCCTTGTGCCAATTTCTACGAAAGATGAGCGTTAGATAATAAAGAGGGCAAAGTTTTTACCTACCCAGACTGTGTATATTCTTGCATGATAGCTGCTAGACGCTGAACCAACTGAGTGGTTGGGATAGGTTCCAGGTACGTACGGAAATACTGCTGTGCAACTTTTCGGGCTTGACGAACCAGAAGGCGATAATCGGGACCCATTCCTACAAATTAAAGGTCAATTAAACAACTGTATGAATCAAGAAGGAACACATGAGATAGATGGATTAAAAGCCACATGAAACTGCATGTGATTAAAAAGAGGGAATCTGGTGTAAAGTAGTTGGGTTCAGAGCCACTAAATTGTACATAACTAAACATATGATTAGTTATGGACCATTTGCTTTAAAATATTTATAGGGGGAAAAATGACCAGTATAAGCATGACTGAAGAAAAGTTGACCATGAATTAGTTACAGGCTAGAGGAGCATGAACCAGGAAAAACTGTGGGAGTGAATCCTTAATGACTGGAAGGCAAGGTTGTATGGGTCATGTGTAACGTATTGGGTAAACATGGATGTCACAAGGCTTGAGATATTCAGTGGAATATTACGCACCACTGTACACCATGCCTATGTGGTCGGTGATCATCTCCACCTTGATGATGGAGTGTTCCTCTACCAAGATAGACTTGTGCTTCTTCTCTGTGGCCAATACGACACCATCCTTTGCTTTGATGCCCACTGCTGGAGCACCAGCAGCCACTGCTGCAAGTGCATATTCTATCTGCACCAATTTCCCAGAAGGGCTGAAAAGAAAAAGTAACTGCTTAATCCTGCATAATATATACTGTACCTGTATTTATGAACAATCAAAAATAATTTTATATTATAAACAAAGTACTACACAATAATAATGTAGCAGTTGTTGGGAACACTTGTCATGTAAACAGAAAATGTGGCGTTATAGTGCATTAACGTGGATTTATGTTCAGGAGGAAAAATTTGCTAAAATAACATTACTGTACTCGGCTAAACTGAGGGACTTCACAACTGACGCGTTATTTGTTTTGATGTTTATATTCTTACTATATTTTCATCAGTGAGTTCTGATATAATAAGCATTTTTATGGAAATTGCTTCGTCTGGTAAAGAATTAGGCAACAAAGTGAGCACTATTTTGTCTTTCTTGGTATGATGCGGCAGTACACAGTCAATCGCCAGTGTATGTTCATGAGACACACGGGTCAGGTGGCTGTTCTCACATACACAAAAAACGTAAAATTACACCATATAATAGTAAGTTCTTTCTGTTTAATATGCTGGGGGGTCCGGAGGGTTGAGCCTCACAGCTCGGAAGTTAGTAGGTTTCTTTGATTAGGTTGGTGGTCTTCCAATAATGCTTCTGCCACTTGTTTTTCTTCTCGACTAAGGTTAGTTTAGATTTAATTTAAAAATAACCAATTTTGAACACATTTTCCATAACTATGACAGTGTCCACTATAAAACAGTGAGATCTCATTTTTTTAAATTCGGTTTTTATGAAAAATCAGCAGCTGTGAAGTTGTAAATAATTACCCATTACTCAAATTGTAAATCTGGTAATAGTGTTAAAGAGTATCAGACCTGACCAAGCCTAACCTGTCCTAACCAAACCCAATTTAACAGAACCAAACCTAAACTGAACTTAACCTCACCATGCCATGACAATCTCAGGGTAGTTGTGGACAGGTTAAGCTTATACATGTATATATGTTTAGTTCTCATTATGGTTTTGGTTGATATAAGAGGTTTTCAAAGAATTTTTTTTTTTTACAGCACATACTACTTTTTTTTTAAGTATTAAAACAAAGATATTGTAAATTCACCAAAACAATATGAAAATTGCAACTATTCGTCATTAATGGAGGATATTAAATGAAAAAGTTGTTCTTCTATAAAATAATTTTCTGTAGTTAGTTCACCCAGACCCTCGAGCCAGAGTACTCTATGATGAAGCAACCTAACCAAAATAACTATATAAATCACTTCGAAATTTCCTACGGTTTCCAAGCCTTATTCACTCAAATTCACAAGCCTATAAGAAACACGGTAAATTAATACTTTATATCGAATACCTCCTGACTCCCTCAAAACATGCCAGTCATGAATGAAGGAATGACAACCCCGGCTAACTACTGCCGTCTAGCCATTAACCAGCTTAAAATACAATGTCCCTTTTCTTGAGGTACTTCAGTATTTATATATGGATACATCACTAACATTTTAATATAATAGTGAGTGATATTTACCTAAAAGTGGTGAGAGAGAAACTGTATCGTTCTGTTGCCATCGTGGGTCGCTTGTAAACAGTCACCCCGGCACCACTACGACCTCCCGCGTCCGAGTCCCTCAATGTTGTTCAGCTGCTTTCATTCCATTACATTTATCACGCAAGTTAAACATTGTTATTAAAGTTTAAATACACATATAAAAGAATAATAATTATTTTAATGTTTATTTTAAGATTAAATCAAACAAATTTAATTTAAAAAATCGTATATTTTATCTTCAAAGAAGTTCGAACAAATTAATATCCGTTAGAGAAAACGTAAACCCAGCCTTTGGGAGGTTAAAGAAATGTTAAAACCCTACCATTATAGTAATTTTTATACGTACGCTGTGTATTCTACATCCAGAAATAATACCAACAATAATCTGGTATATATTATCTGTTTGGAAAAGATCGCAGACAGATTTATATACTTGTTTATACCAAGTTCACATGATCAACTGTAGGTAATTGAATATAATACATTGAATGCTTACTTTTTTTGTTTAATTTACATTGACACTTTAGTAAATATTTCAATTACTAAGCATATTGGTGAAATAACCCTGTATTCCTGATTCTGAAAATAGAAGACATGAATCGGGCCATTTTTCGTGATGTTACACACTACCAACACGAGTGGACATTACTGTAACTTCAAGCTCGCCAAGTTATCAAGTAGAGCGAATATAAAGATATACTTATTCAGACAGAGGGTGGTAGATCTTTGTGAACAGTTTACCAGCTCAAACTATGGAATTGAGAACATTAGGTGGATAAGGTGAACAGAGTAATGAATTGACAATGCCGTATAGATATTTCTGATTCACCAGTCTTGCCAAAATCCAGGTTAACAAGTTGGTTGTTGTTCTTTAGCCGTTCACCATAATATGTCCTAGTGTGAAAATACTTGTACAATACCACTTCTCTCTCTCTCTCTCTCTCTCTCTCTCTCTCTCTCTCTCTCTCTCTCTCTCTCTCTCTCTCTCTCGAACATGCAGTCAATTCAGGTAATTAATTAGTCTCGTTAATGACCCTTTAATTAAGTTCACTCGTTTACACCTGACAATTACTCGCTTTACGTAAGTTTTGGAATATTTTTTTTACCGTTCCGTTGTTAGATTACAATTAGACCAAACCCAGTTAAACACATCTATTTTTTATACTAGCATGACATGGAATTCACCAATATATATATATATATATATATATATATATATATATATATATATATATATATATATATATATATATATATATATATATATATATATATATATATATATATATATATATATATATATATATATATTTATTTATTTATTTATTTATTATCTTAAATTCCTTTTAAACTGACAATGTTTAGCTTTTGTTTTCGCACCAGGAAATTGGAATTCTGGTAAATATATTTTTTTAATGTGTGGTAACGAGTGTGTCATAATTATGTCAAGGGTTGGAGTCCCGCTGAGCACCGGACATATGTGAGAAGGGTGTTAACCTGTGTGACCCTCACTACCAAACATCACAGGTTTCGTGGTCTCCCGTCTCCTGTACTAACACTGGATAGACGATAGAGGGACCAACCGCCCGAACGGCTGATAAGTGGTGAAATGAAAAACAAATAAGAGGGATGATGTACTGGTCATAGGCGGTGGAAATTTCAAAATTAAGCCATTACCCTGATTTAAACCCCTACAAAATGCATAACAATTAGTATTTTCCAATGGTTAAGGGACCAGCTGTGGTACTACTGTCAGAGAGAGAGAGAGAGACCGAGAGATGGTTGTGGGTGCTGAGGTTGCTGTCATCACCCATCATTACAGCGGGCGGGAAAGGCTTGTAAGAGAGTGATGCAGTTGAACCTCTCTAAGTCGTACTAATTGGTGGCAAGCCAGTGTGACTTTCGGAATTGTTCGGCTTATTGAAACCTTTCCAACTTTCCTCTCTATTTTTGTAACGATATTTTGACATTTTAACATTTATTGATTTATTTATTTAGTTATTTTTAACTTTTTATATATATTTTTTTAAGCCCTAGGAAGCAAATAAAACACAGAAAAACATTTAGAATACAATAAATATTTAGATTGTTTTAATTTCCTAAATCATTTATTGACTAATCTTTATTTATATTAGAAATTAAAACTTTTCGTTGCATTTCGTTAATTATCAAAATCAGCAACTCAGAACTTGGGGGGGGGGATATCGTACGGGTTTTACAACTAATGTACGGAGGCTATATGGGCACGTAGAACCATAAAGGGCTTAATATATATATAAAAAATAAATAGAAAATATGAAGAGCTTAGAGTGTAAGAGGATGACTACTTAAACCCTGGCGAGTGTGCATTAATTTCGGTCGTGTTCTCTAGAGTGTTAACCAGCAGGCAGTACAGTACATAAGAACATAAGAACATAAGAATGGAGGAAACTGCAGCGGGCCTATTGGCCCATACTGGGCAGTCCCGTTTACACCCAACCCCTATTGCTCATATAAGCATCCAACCTATGTTTGAAGCTATTCAGCGTATTCGAGTTAATGATGATATTTGGTAACTTGTTCCATTCATCCACGACTCTGTTTCCAAACCAGTGTTTACCGATTTCACGCCTAAATCTAAATTTATCTAATTTAAAACCATTGTTTCGAGTTCGCTCCTGGTTGGATAGTTTGAGTACCTTTGTAATGTCCCCTTTGTTTAGCCCTGCCTTCCACTTATACACCTCTATCAGGTCGCCCCTCGCTCTACGTCTCTCGAGGGAGTGCAAATTAAGATGCTTTAACCTGTCTCTATACTCAAGGTTCCTAATGCCCGGGATTAGTCTTGTCATTCTCCTCTGAATTCTTTCCAAGGATTCTATATCCATTCTGTAATACGGTGACCAGAACTGAACTGCGTAATCCAGGTGTGGTCTCACAAGAGTAAGATACAGTTTTAGGATGACCTTGTAGAGGAGACGTCCACTACAATGGCCAGCAACAGGCAACACCTTCTCTAACGAAGCTCCTGCACATCTACCTCCTTCAACAAGCTACTCACCGCACGTCTCTACCAAGCAGCCCCTCACCACACAGCACCTCCATTGTAGGGGTATCGAGATATTAAAGTTGTCTAGCACTCAGGATGGAAGGAAACTCTAATGTGGTTTACTTATATAATATATATATAAGTTATATGATAGACAGTCTGGTGCTGGAGATGCCGTGTGGTGGGGAGCAGCTCAGTAGAAGACGTTCGGGAGTATCGTGTTGAAGGAGGTAGATGTGCAGGAGCTTCGTTAGAGAAGGTGTTGCCTGTTGCTGGCCTCCTGGTTGAATGAAATGTTAACAGCGTGGAGCTTGCTGGAGGAGATGTTGCTTGTTCAGGAAAATGGGCAGAATGAGAGTTGGTTGGTGAGGAAGCTCAGAGAAGGACATGCTCGCTGGCGGGAGCGAGGACCGCCAGGCAGGCGGAGGAGAGGCGAGGGTCGCCAGGCAGCGGCAGAGGAGGAGGTGTTGCTTGTTCAAGAAGATTGGTCAGACTGAATCTCAAGGGAGAGACAGAGCTTATATACCCCGCAGCAGCCGCCATGAGTCATGGTGGGAAAACCCGAGAAGTAGCCGGTGAATAGTTTCGTTGCTAAGATACGGTAACATCTGGTTGGTTGCTAGGGAAGGCGGCACATTGGAATGTGATAGCAGGTGGTGTGCAGCTACGCAGTTAGTTTGTAGAGGAGACGTCCACTACAATACTCCCCCTCCCCTCCAGGCGGTGTAGGAGACTTGTTGATTGTAGAGTTGCTTAGCACATGTGAGGAAGACCGGGCGGTGCATGCCTCATGTGAGACAACGGCGATGGCGTGATGAGCCGATCGCTGAAATACAACTGTCTAGATACACACTATCTGTGGGAGAAGGGAGAAAAAGGGTGTGTGGAGGCGATGGATGTTGTGCTTCCCTCACGACAGGTACAGGGTCGTCAGATGTGCCTGCTGGGGTGTGTGTGGGCCTGGATCAGGAGCAGGGGCTGGGTCAGCAGAAGCGGATTAGGGCTCGTGACAGCAGCTGGGTCCACGACAGCAGCAGGGTGCAGGACATTAGCAGGGAGTACCTGAGGGAGAAAAGAGGGGGTGTGGAGGCGATGGATGTTGTGTGCTTCCCTCACGGCAGGTACTGCTGGGCCGGGGTCGGCGTCTGAGGCAGGACGGGTGTGCTGGGGTCGTCAGAATGTGGTGCGTGGGGCAGGAAGAGGAGCCGGTGTCTGCTTGAAGACTGGGAGCGTGATCAGTGTCTCCTCCATCCTGTGTGAGTGCTAATCTCCGGGAGTCACCATTGTAGGGGTATCGAGATATTAATGTTGTCTGTTGCTGGCCTCCTGGTTGAATGAAATGTTAACAGCGTGGAGCTTGCTGGAGGAGATGTTGCTTGTTCAGGAAAATGGGCAGAATGAGAGTTGGTTGGTGAGGAAGCTCAGAGAAGGGCATGCTCGCTGGCGGGAGCGAGGACCGCCAGGCAGGCGGAGGAGAGGCGAGGGTCGCCAGGCAGCGGCAGAGGAGGAGGTGTTGCTTGTTCAAGAAGATTGTTCAGACTGAATCTCAAGGGAGAGACAGAGCTTATATACCCCGCAGCAGCCGCCATGAGTCATGGTGGGAAAACCCGAGAAGTAGCCGGTGAATAGTTTCGTTGCTAAGATACGGTAACATCTGGTTGGTTGCTAGGGAAGGCGGCACATTGGAATGTGATAGCAGGTGGTGTGCAGCTACGCAGTTAGTTTGTAGAGGAGACGTCCACTACAACCTCGCTAGTCTTGTAACTAATAATAATAATAATAATAATAATAATTAACGGTTTATTGAAAGAGCTTGGCAGCCAGAAGGCTGAAAATATACAGTTACATATTTGGGGAATGGGTTACGAATTACAAATAGTATACAAGTGACATAAGTGACACAAATAAGACATATAATAACTTAGATGGGGATCAGCTCAAACTACAGTTCATTTCAACATAGTGACAGTGTAGGGAGCAGTGTTTACTGGGAGTGAATACACTGATTTATTACATGTTATTGATAATTTTACAATGGTTGGGA